TCTTCTTCTTCAAATTCTCCTTCTTCCTCCTAAATAACATTTCAGGATTTCTTAAAGTTATAATCATATTTTTGCTCGGATATAATTACCGTCTTTGTAAGTTTTAATCAAAGTTAACTTACTATTTCCTCGTCTTCTACTTCCTTACTCGTGGTCACCTCCAAATTTTCATCAAAAAAGTTTTCGTCATCTTCATTTTCTTCCTCCGGATAAATTGGTCTAGTGTATTTGCATTAGAATTAGCTTACCGTCATAGACGAATTCAGAAGATCCAGTATTGATATTACGAGAGATAACTACTTCGTTGTACATACTTATCCCATTTAAACTTTATGCTCTTTAATGCGACATCAGCAAGTGAATCCAAAACGTAGCAAACCTTAGAATATATTTCATTGACATAATTTAGTGGGATAACAAATTTTTCTAAACAAAACTTACTATTTGTTATACGCTTATATGGCTAACTTTATGATCTCATATTAAGGTCACAGTCAGTAAATATTAATAACAGTACCTGCTGACCAGCTCCTGTTTTCAGTTTAGATGGTGGGAAGTCTGTTTGGATAGACTATGTTGTTTAAAGAAATAATATCACATATCTTATCAGCATTTACTTTAATTCAATTAAGATAATTTTAGTACGAAAAATGGCACTATTATAATAGCAATTAGTAAAGTAATACGACTAAAACATTTATTGCAGATGATTTGCTAAATCTAAATATTTAACAATAACATTATATGAAACGAGTCCTACTGCTCGCAGTGATATCATATAATTAAAATCATTCAAGGTTAATGCTCACTAACCAATTTCTTCAACGCGCCCAATATATTAGAGATTGTGGCATTAGGATCATCATACTATTCAGTAAATGGATACTTTCAATGCTACAGTTATAACTTAAAAAATAAATTTTTCTAACAGTTAATAAGATACTCTAGTAGTTAGATTATAACTGACTTCCTGAGGAGGTTCGAAATCGGTGACACCACATATGCCTAATAGCCAAGCTACCAACCCCGTAAAGATATGAAACTGTTCTCCTGAATTTATTTGCATTGCGAAGTAATGCCTTAAATTTAAATAAAATTGATACTTGTTATACTAAGTAATATCGTTATGTCTACTTATCACACAACATATAAATCCATTGAAGTCCTACTAGCTTCAAGCTGGTAGCCTTATAAGTGATCTACAGCTATATTCTAAGATTTTAAATGTATTCATAGAACTCATTAATACATTATTGTACATAAGCATCATTTAATTTTTATAACTTCTATGAAATAATAGTAAACCCAACATCAACCTACCTTGAAATGTACTTATAGCCCATATTTTTGCAAAAGCTATTTTCGTAATCTAGTAGCTTTAACTTGTCCAATAGATCTTCCATGACAAGAAAACAATGATGAGCATTATGAATAACTTGCTCGCTACCTTCCGTTTGCTGATTTCTGGCCTGGTCTCCCATATTTAGTATTATTTCAGCTATCGAAAATGTTTAAAGTTATGGAATGATTTGTAAAGTGTTACCGGACTTAAAGTATGTAAACTTTTGAAATTTTCCGTTATGATATGTTTTCAAAACCTTTCAATGCCGTCTTCTTAATATCACAAATCACTCTTAAATATATGGTACTAGTAACTTATTTACTATGTCTACGTTTACACTCTAAGTTTTAGGGGCACACGAACAAGAAACATCCAAATCCAAAAGAAAATTTTCTTCCAAAGTATGTGTATGGAACTTTCTAGCGTAAAATGTAATCTTATCAACAGTTTGAAAGTAGGTCTAGGATTACATACAATTCTAAGATCTTTCAGTAAAAAAGAAGTTGATTTTTGTATATATATAAAGTAATAATCACCACTTGCTCTTTCACCGAAGAAGAAGATAACTATGAAGGACCAAATAACGCAAATTTTGTTTAGGTGCTGAAGGTCCGGTATAAAACAGTATTGCAATTGTTAGTATGCCAGAAGAGGAGGTACAGATGGCTATCTGTAAATTACGAATTTCAAGCGACTGTATAAATGATATACTGTATTTATAAACAGTAACTGATAATAACTACTGTATGCTTGGTAACTATCATATACGTACAGTATATTTAATATATCAGTAGTAATCACATTGGTAACGAATCATGCGCTGTATGGCTATCATACGTCTAAAGTAAGTTACGGTGTGTCTACAATGAGTATAGGTTTGGGTATAATTACATACTCACACATTGCTCTCATTTCATTATAGATAGAGTCTTGAACAAATTAAAGATAAGCTAACCTAGGCAGCGTACTGAACATTATAGGCATATACTATAACCTACTACGGGAAACAATACTAACGGTACCTTACTGTTCATTAGATCAAGCAATCCTTTGTATCTTAGGCATGTTGTATTCGTATCGGTGTGATGTTACTATGACGACGAATAGGATATCACGGAAAAACATTCTAGCCGCTATTAAGTTAATTCAATCGATGGCAAGGTACCACGAAAATCTCGATATAAATACGAATGTATATATGTAGATAAGAACGATATAATGTAACTACAGTACAAGAATATTCTATCGTCGATACCAGTATGATTCCGAAAACTGAATTTAGTTAGTTTTTAGTACCTCATTCTAAGGCCGATTGCAAGTACTATGTCTTCTATACTATAATGCATGAACTACAAAGAATGTAAGGAGCTATTCATTCATAGAAGAGATTAAAAGCTATCAGCTACTACTTCCTATATCTTTAGATTTAGTATACATAAGAGTAAATCGTTGACATCGTTCCACGAGTACAAAAGTCTAAATTAGCTTTCCAATAAACATGATAAACTAGAATACTAGAAAAGCTTTAGAACTACATGCTGAGACTGTCTTCATTCGATAGACAAGGAAACTAATAGATAGGAAGATCTAGATTAACTTAAACGAACAGCCAAGGTAACTTGTGAGCTCGATTTTGATATTATGATACCGTAGCTACTTCGTACGTAAAAATTGGAAAATTACTATCACGTATTCCTATTCAATTCAAAGAAATTTATGTAATTACAGAATTTAATTGATCGATATAATGAATTAACTTGACAGTTGCGCATTCTATGACATGAAAAATATATCCCAACAATATTACTAACCTAATCATTTGACTAATCACTTCGTAATATAGAATTTCAGGTAGAAATACGCTATAAATTCCTCACTTATCTTATGTAATGATAAGTACCTTACATTCAAGTAACACAACTTAAAAATATTTTGTTTAAATTATGATTAGATAAATGGAACATCAACTTTCGTTACGTCTTCCCTTAAAGCAATAATTAGCTCTATACTATTTATACTCGAACTAATAGCACCTCAGTGCGTTCTTCAAAGATGATATAAAAGAGGCACCGTAAAAGTGATTTGCAACAGATTAATTCGACTGGTGGTCATTTGTAGACCAAAATCATACGGTAATTTTACGTCTTATATTACGGAAATAATATATACGCGTATGCGCATAAATTACTTGATTACCTCGGTACTTCAGTAATCCGCAACATAACTTATATGCTCTATCACTCATAGACGCACGAGCGATATGAGGGAGTTCATCACATATAAACATTTAAATTCCAAGTGCATTGAGTTTTATATTCCAAAATATATTAGAACAGCTCTTATAAATGTAAAGCTCGTACATTAATCCATTTCAACTCAATTTATGTATTCATGCTGAGAAGCTAATAAAATTTTAGAATTTAAGGCATTACTATAGATGTGATGTCTTCTTTAGAATAATCTTACACCAGTAAATCATAAATACTTCAAATTTAACTGCGTTACTAACGCGGATGCTGTAATTTCAATCCCGCTAATCTTATGTACTTATATTCACATTATATAAAGTCAATATAATTTTCTAGCCCTAAATTCCTTGACTACATTTTCACTAAGCAAATTTAGGTTCTGATGAAACTGAATTAAATCTTAACTAATCTTTATGAAATATCAAGAATTATAATTGGAAGCTAGTATCAATACTACTGGTTATATCATACAAAACTTGGATATTTCATGCTAAAGCACTAGAATAACATAGCCTGGTTTTTCACTACCTATTTCTTTCCTAGTAAAACTATAGTGCAATTACCGATTGCTTACAGTTACTCATTGCTTAATCCAATGGCAAGTAAACTTCCGTCTTTTATTTTCCTACATATTATTCAGAATAAAGAATCAAGGTTAAATCATGATTAGATAGGTTAATTCAAAAATAAAATGCCTTAAGGTTAGGGTTAGGGTTAGGGTTAGGGTTAGGGTTAGGGTTAGGGTTAGGGTTAGGGTTAGGGTTAGGGTTAGGGTTAGGGTTAGGGTTAGGGTTACGGTTAGGGTTAGGGTTAGGGTTAGGGTTAGGGTTAGGGTTAGGGTTAGGGTTAGGGTTAGGGTTAGGGTTAGGGTTAGGGTTAGGGTTAGGGTTAGGGTTAGGGTTAGGGTTAGGGTTAGGGTTAGGGTTAGGGTTAGGGTTAGGGTTAGGGTTAGGGTTAGGGTTAGGGTTAGGGTTAGGG